AGTCCCCCCGCGCCCCGCACCGCCCCACCCGAGCCCCGCGCGCCGCCTCTCCTCCCCGCCCGGGCGCCGCCGCTTCCCATCCCTCACGCCCCTTCCTTCGCGTCTGCCCTCCCTCCCGGCCACTGTTCCATTTCTTCCCACGATCGGCCTCAGCTGCTGCTCTTTGTCTCGCCCCTACCCTCTCGGCTCGCACCACTGCTCTCCCGTAAACCTTTGTGGTCCCTCCCTCGGGCCTTCCCCGATCCCGTTCCTCCGTCCCAGTTCCAGCCGTTGGGACGTCCCCTTTTCCATTTGTCTCTCCATCACGCTTATACTTTCGGATTCTTCCCGTAGGCTCCGCACAGTCCCGTTCTCCTCCAGTCTCGCCGCGGACTCCTGGCATTGCCTTTCCTGCTCACCTTTCATTCACGTAGCCAACGTGCCTGAGCGTCTGCCTGGTGCCAGGCAGTGTCCTGCGCCCTGGGAATATCACAGTGAATCCACCCGCGAAGCCAGCCTTTGAGGAACCCACAGCCCTTGGGAGTGGGAGGGTGGATGTAAACAGATGTTTACAGTGCTACTCTACTCTCCCTCTGAGCCAAAAGGCTGGGGAGCAGTAATTACAGTACACAAACCAGGGTGCTGCAAGTTCAGAGGACAGAACACTTCCTTCCCATATTGGTTTTTTTCCCCCCCTTCCTCACTACCCATGTTCTATACCAACCCTGGCCTTTTCTGTGGAGCAGCCTCAATAAGGGGACAAAAAGTTGAAGCAAACAATAGAATTGCTTTAAAAACGAAGGGAGAGAAATGGGGCAGCAAAAGAATCGGGTAAGAAGTTATAAAGCCCAGTTCACCGAACTCCAGCAAAAACTGATGCTATGCCCAGAGCAGGATTCAAATTCCTCTGAAATCCATCTGCTTTGATAAATGTATTAGTTATTCCCTCGTCTACAGATTGGCACTGCGGGAGCTGCTTCCTTATTATTATTAGGACCCTGAGGTACTAATGATAGAATTATATTAGAATGATAATTTACTATCTAGCACTATCTAGCACCTGCCAAACACCCAGCTTGTCTTCAGGGACAAGTGGGATAATGGGGACACAAAAAGTAAATGGATGCCTTAGTATTCCTATGGGACAGATGCTCTATTTGGTCGAAAACTGGAAACTGAAACTCCTCTCAGAGTCTAGGTCACCAGCAAGCCAGAAGTTTGAAGGAGCTTGAAGCAGGCTGTTCTAGAGCATATTTTAGACTTTTATTCTGAAATCCCTGTATATTTTTTTAAATTTGCATTGACTCAGACACTGGCTAAGATTTGTGACCCTGGGGAAGTTATTTAACCTTTCTGAATCTCAGCTTATTCATATATAAAATAGGCATACTCACACCTGCCTACTGTAGAATTAAAAAGATGAAATGAGAGAATGTAAGTAAGTCACCCAATGCCATAGAGAACTAAACCCTTTTGAAAGCTGGTATTCAAGAAAGGTCTAGTAGGGCTTCCCTGGTGGCGCAGTGGTTGACAGTCCGCCTGCCGATGCAGGGGACATGGGTTCGTGCCCCGGCCTGGGAAGATCGCACATGCCACGGAGCCGCTAGGCCCGTGAGCCATGGCCGCTGAGCCTTCGCGTCTGGAGCCTGTGCTCTGCAACGGCAGAGGCCACAACAGTGAGAGGCCCACGTACCGCAAAAAAAAAAAAAAGAAAGGTCTAGTAATATATGCCATAGACTGGCATGAGAGAACGAGAATCGAAAACAGTTATGGCTCTTTCAGCTCCATATCCACCCATGATGCAAGAGAGGTCCTTCCCAGACTTATTCTATTTCGTTTTGAACTCTTCAATTGAAAACTTTTTTTCTCCTGCTGCACATTATCAAATATAGTATTTATCACAAAGGCTTTTCTTCCCATAGCTCATAAGCTCAGAACGTGCTGTGCATTCAAGGATAGAAATTGTTGCCAACAAATGCATTTTTTCAATTGCTCTCTTAAAATTTTTTTCTTCTTCTAAAGCTAGTCTTGAGCTGTGAGTATTCAGTCAGACACAGAGAAAACACAGAAAAAATATTAATTATTTTACTATATATCACTTTATAGATGATACTGTATAGATGTCATCTATACATCTATACTGCAGATGACAGTCGTGTGAAAACATGACATTGTTTTTGTGCAAGGATTAATTTTTTTAAACAAAAGATATATAATAATTTTCTTCTCCCAAATCAGTTTCATAAGCCATTTCCTTTGGGGTCCCCCCCATAGACTTATGAACTAAGATAATGCGAGGCCTCATCCAAATGAATCCTAAATGCTGCTTGAAGAATCTACACAGGATGAGACATTGTTGATATAAAATATCTTTTCAATATAGCAGTTCACATAAAACTAGTCAAAGCAAAACTGGGAAGTATATTGCATGTTCCACATAGAATATTATTCCCTCACTCTTCACACACTGAATCCTTTTTACCCTTGACAACTCAGCTTAAATGTCCTCCCTGACCAATCTAAATGACATTTTCTAACCTCTGCTCTCTCTCAGATCCCCAATATAAAATATATCCCAATTTATTATATATATATATATATATATCTTTTTTCTATATATTTGTTTATAGTATACCTCCACTTGTAGACATAAATTCCATGATAATAGGAACCCTATCTGTTTTATTTACCATTATAGGACCAGGGCCTAACCCAATAAAACATTTAAAATATATTAATGAAAAAATAAAAATAAAGTATGTCTTCAGAGACCTCTGGTTCCCAAACTTTGGGATATATAAGGAGCCCTTGGAGGTTTCTTAGCTACAACACCAAAAGCACAAGTGATTAAAGAGAAATTTGATATGTTGGATTTCATAAAAATCTAAAACTTTAGTGCTTCCTAGAACACCATCAAGAAAAATGAAAAGACAACCCACAGAATGGGATAAATTATTTGCAAATCATATATCTGATAAAGGACATGTATCCAGAATATATAAAGAACTTCTACAACTCAATAATAAAAAGGTAAACAACTCATTTTTTAAATGGGTGAAGGATCTGAACATACATTTCTCTGAAGAAGATATATAAATGGTCAATAAGCACATGAAAAGCTACTGGACATCATTAGCCATTAGGAAAATGCATATCAAAACAACAAGCTTCCACCTTCCACCCATCAGGATGGCTATAATGAAAAATACAATAACAAGTATTGTGGAGAAATTAGAATACTTGTACATTGCTGGTGGGAATGTCAAATGATGCAACCACTTTAGAAAACAGTTTGGCTGTTCCTCAAAATGTT